GCTCAACCGCCGCCTGACCTTGGGAGAGGCATTTAGGGGATAACAGCACTGTGAAATCCAGCGCCGGCAGGCATGGGGACTGGAGGTGCTGATCTGAAATGGCCCAAATCCATGCCCTGCTCTTGCTAGGCCATTCCCTGCTCTCTCTCTGTCTCTGGGGACCGTGTGTTGGAGCCCGTATCCAAGCGTTGTGGCCTGGCCCTCCTCAGGTGCTCAGCTTCGTTCCTGGCGCTGTACAGAAACCAAGTGGAGCAGACCCAAACTGCTGCTGCTTCGCTTTCCTTAACCAACTGGAAATGAAACCCAGCAGGCATGATGGTTCACAGACAGGTATGGCAAGACAAGCTGCCCAAGGGAAAAGAGATGGTTTCCCCTTGGCATAGCAGGCAAGCCGTGAATCTCATCAGCTCCTTCCCCCTCTCCTGAACCTGCTAGCCTCTCCCAATCAATATTTAATTAAAGAACTAAAACCCAATTGATGCTCAAACCCCCAAGCAGTTCAGTAGGAAAGTGGCTGAATCTCATGGCTGGCCAGAGACAGTGATTGATCGCTGTTATCTGCCCAGGGCGGGCTGCTGCACGCGTCCCGCCTGCCTCCGCAGGGCCACTGACGGCCAGCGTGGGAGGACCTGTGATGGCAGCAAGGTACGTGCCACAGCTCCCAGGGTCACCTTGCAAAGGAGGACAGAGCTGGAGAGCTTCCCCTGTGGGTCGTGTAAAATAGACAGCTTTGCTCCTACCCGTCCTCGAGTTGCTTTTCTGTGTCTGAGGCTGCTGGAAGACTAATTGTAAGTGCAGAAGCTGGCCTGGAAGTTTGACCTAGCTGGTTATAAATGGGCGAGGAGGTAGCCTGGAAAACTGTAGAGGGGCAGATACGTCTAGGACATTGTGAATGAAAGGTCACGTAGCCAGGAGAGCACCTCTGTGTGAGAAATGGGAGAGGGCTGCTGCTTACCGGTACAGTTCCTCTCATCGCTGCTGTCTGAGCAGTCCAGATATCCGTCGCACCGCTCCGTGACCATAATGCAGGCCTCTCCATCTTCACATTTATAACCATTAGGGCATGACAGGGTGCTGTGAGTAGCTGCAAGAGGCAGAACAGTTTCAGAACTCAAGGCAGGAAAGTTCTCTCAACAGCACTGGGCTGTTTGCAGTGCCAGTGCTGCTTCAAAAGCAGGCGCGATGCTGGGGTGGCTGCATGTCAGCAGTGGAGCTCAGGCAGAGCGTGTCGGTCATAGAGCTATCTTGTTCTGGCTGCATCTTCTGGCATGGTGGCATCAGAAGAACCTGGAGCTTATCACAACAACTGGACTTCTAATGGGAACGGCACTGGTGGTTTGGGCTTTTTACTCCTTTTTTTTACTGTAATGCTGCATTTACGGCAAGGATTTCACCATCGGTAAAACTCCTCAGTGGCTTCCCCGTCCTCACAAAGAGCTTCCCAACAGAAAGAGCCAGATGCACTTACGGCAGTTCCTCTCATCCGTGCCGTCCTGGCAGTCCCACAGGCCGTCGCACCGCTTCCAGTTGGGGATGCACTTGTGCAGCTGCTGGCACTCGAACTCGAACCTGCTGCAGTGTCCCGGGAGCGCCGGGGGGGTGGCCGTCACGTTGGGTCCTGCACAGAGCAGCAAGTGAGGAAAGCACCCAAGGCCCAGCCAGGCTGCCGCTGCCACCAGAAGGGACCAAAACCTGTCCCCAGGTCCCGACACCACTAGATGGCAATCTCTTCCCATCTAGCAGGTAGACGGCTGCTGCTGGGACGACGCCCGAGCCATCCTCTCTCCTGACGGGAGAGGGCTGGAAAAGCACTGGCTTGCGGGGGATGTCCTGCACCGGCTCAGAGCTTGGCAAGCCATAGCGAGGACTGCAGCGAGAAAAAACCCTCCTTTACCCTCAGCGTAGGTGTGAGCCGAAAAGCCACCCCGCAGTCCCACTCTCTGTGATCTTCCACAGTCTCAGCCACAACGGCATTCGAGCAGGGACCTGCGGCAGTAATTCATGCCTCCCGCAGGGCTGGAGCAGTGTCCCAGCTGACGGCAGGGGCTCTGACCCCAGGGAGAGAGGATACAGTGGGTGTTTACACCACAGTGTAATTTAGTGCTGTTACCTGGCAAGGCTCTGAGACTGACAGGCTGACAGTCCGTGCAGATGTGGTCCTACAGAAAAAGGAAAGGGGTGAGGAAGAGAAAAGCTTACGCGAAGTAGGGCAGGCTTCCTCGTCGGAGCCGTCGCTGCAGTCCTTGTAGCCGTCGCAGACCCAGCTGTTCACGATGCAGGCTCCGCCGTTGCAACGGAAGTGATTAGGTAAACATGTCGGTGGGATCGATGTAGTAATGGGATGAATCGGAGAACCTAAAAATACACCGTTCAGGGCTGATCTGAGAGGCCTGCTCCTGCGTAGGGGCTGTAAGCTGTGCCTGTTCCCAGCAGACTGAAAGCCGCTGTCAGCGGCGGGATGCGGGGAGCAGGCAAGGTGTTACAAGCCCGATGTTTGTATCTGTGTCGTATCTGCACAGCTCCTCATCAGGATTTCCAAAACCACAGAGTAAAAGGATGCATGAGAGCGTGCACACGGCCCACTCGTGAGGGATTTTCGGAGCCACGGGGGCTGGTGCGGGCCGTCCCAAGCGGCCCTGCGGGAAGGCAGCAGATGCTGAGAGCGGTCCTTCAGCACGCCTCAGGCCAGCCTCAGCCCAGGCTCCCACGAGCAGCGCGCCATGTGCCCTTACCCTCGCAGTCCTTCTCGTCAGACCAGTCCCCGCAGTCGTTCTCCTCATCGCACTTCCACCGGTTGGGGATGCAGTGCCCGTTCCCGCACTGGAACTGGTAGTACCGGGAGCAGTTTGGGGCCTCTGTTGGGTTTTCTGACAATGAGAGGAGAGTCCTGTGAGCCCCAGCGTTATCTCACCAGTCGTCTGCACAGCTGAGGTGTGGGAGCATCTCAGGCCGGGCAACGGCTGGCCCAGAAGGCATCGCCCTATCTATTTGCCCAAGCAGCACCGGCAGGGTCCTTTCTCTTCACCTCCAGTGTCCCCATTCCTCACGGCCCTCGCTAGCCTGTCGCCACCACTATTACGTTTGTGCGCTGGCTGCTTCACGGCCAGACACCACCTATGATCTCCGAACCAGAGCTGAAAGTAAAATTCAGACAGAGCATGGCAGAAATGGAGAAGCAAACCCTGCAACTCTGAAATGAAGACGCAGCTGCTTCGTCTGGCTGGGTACAGCTCCCACAGCTACCCAGGGAACAATGGTAAATACTGTGTGTGGATGAAAATGCCTGTCTGCTTTGGGCTGGGAATCTGTGGAGTAAATATGGTCACGTATGACTTAGTCAACTGCAAGATATGTCAGCCGTATTGGATTTTCAGTGTGCTTCACTTTACCTACCTGCAATATGAGGAAAATGATACCGATCTCCATGTAAGACACTCTGCGATGTGCAAGCAGAGCGCTACACACACACAGATATATATATACACATATATCCACGAGTGCCCAGGTAAAACATGAAGAAGCCAGTATTCTGTGCTCCTGAAATTCAAAGGAGGACGGAACTATGACGACAAGAGACCCCGAGGTACTGCTCACCACAGTTTGCTTCGTCCGAGTAATCGCCACAGTCATCCATCCCATCGCATTTCCACACCAGGCTGATGCACACACCATTCTGGCACTGGAAGCTGAACTGGTCGCAGGTCCGGTGGAACTCAGGGTCCTGGGCTGCAGGGTGGCACGGAGAGACACCAGCGGTTTAGTGTAAAGACCAAGGGCTTGAGGGAAGCTCGTCATTGAGGACAACGGAATGAGCAGGCTTAAAGGCAATCATGGATTTATAAGCGGAGCATTACAGTCCAGAGACACCTCTTAAGAGATTTGGCAGCTTTCTGGTATGCTGGGGAATGCGCTCTCCTCTCTGTGCCTCTGGTTTCATTCTCTATCCAACATTTCTTTTGCAAAGATGCACAAGATCACACTTACAGCAGCCAGCATAGTTGGCATCTTCGTCCGATCCATCTCGACACTGGATGATGCCATCACACACCATGGAGTGGAACAAGCACTGCTGTCGGTTCTTGCACACAAAATCCATATAGCGGGTGCACAGGGGTTCTGGAGAAATGGGAGGTCAGGGAGAGAGGGGATGGCACCTCTCCTGTCCTTGGCAGCA